ACATATCTGTTAATTAATCTCTCTTTTCAAAGTACATAATACTTCATAAAATTCTATATTTCTCTTGAACATTGAGCATGGTGATCTTTCCTCTCTTGTTCCACTTAGTGTGTGTACTGTTCAAGTGTGATCTATCATCTGCTTCCTAAGCACTTAGTTCAGAATTTGTTTTTCACTTCTGCCTTTGTAAGACTTCTACCAAGAGAGCCAGACATATCATGTGTCTGACAAGCTCTTTCTTAAAATATTTAATAGCTGCTATAATTTTTCCATCTCTACTATCAAAGTTTCCATGCAGGCTTCTGTCTTTTTGTAGATTTTCTCTTAGCACACATTCCATATTTACTAATTTTCAGCCCTTCCTGGTTCCACCTATGTGAAGGCTTAAAGACAGCCCAATTAAGTATTTGGACTCAGGTCAGACACATGATCTGTCTGGCTGTCTTGACAGACTTCTTATAGAGGTAGAATTCAGTAATTTTCTGAATGTCAGTAGAGAGACTTCATTCTCTCTGGTTCATATTATGCTCATCTAATTGTCATTTTCTGTTTATATCTACTTTGTACCTCCCTGTATCTGTGCTTTATGTTATAACCAAGGGTCTGTTCTTCTGTATTTCTTTTCATTGTCTATGCCAGTAAAACAATTAACAAGGTTGCCTTTATGTAAAGTATTTACACTCCTTTTTTTCTGGTGATATCCCTTAGTTTTTAGTGCATAGAATATTTTTCTGTATCACAAAGACAATGATGAGCAGGTGACATGCTCTTACCTGTGATATTTATGTCAATGGGGCCACTGGATTCAGACCACTCATATGGAGAGTGATTTAAGGAACCATAGCATGTGTATGTCCCAGCATCATCAGGTGTCACAGGACCTATTGAGAAGTTGGCTTGGGAACCCCCATGATAATGTTCTGCAGAAAGCTCGAAAGAGTCTTTAATTGTTCCATTTTTATGTGATGTCAAAATGAAGGTGTCAAACATAATCTCTGATCGACACTCCAGTGTCACCGTCTCTCCTAAATTCACCAGGGGAGGTTGTAAGGCCAAGAGGAAAGGCTTCCTGTAGACTCCTAAGAATAAAAAAATTGTATGAACCTGGTCAAAAATCTCTGTGTCCTTGAAGACTGGTGGTTCCCCCTCAACTGGCCTGTTCTCCCTGTTAGTACTCCAGTTTACTTGTTTTTGTTTGCTTCTACTCTGGACACAGACTCCTCCATCTTTGTGTCCATTTCCCACTTATTTGAGTCTAGGATTAGTACAATATCTTCCCACTGGCTTGTTATGAGAATGTGTCTCTTGAGTACTACTTCCATAGGCCCTATTGTCTTTTTTAAGCCTGGAAAGTGCAGGAAACATGGCAAGCTCAACCACCAGGCTGCTTTATGTGTCTTCTTTATGCAACTTTTGATTCAGTATAATCCTTGGTAGGTTAAAGGAATTAGTATTGAACATAGTTATGAGGGAAAGACTTCTAGCACTCACTGTGATTCAAACCCCTATAAGGCATTTCTGATCCAGGATCATGAACATTGTTTCCTCCAACACATTGATGAATTAGCATCCTGACCTTACTGCTCTCAGAGCATCCCTTTTTTGTGACTTAATTTGCTTTTTACTTGAGTTCCTATATTACTTTCCAGTTGCTAACATAACAAATTACAACAAATTTGATTCTTAAAAAGAATATAAGTATTGTGGAGATCAGAATTCTGAAAAGCCCAATGGCATAAATCAGGTTTCTTCAGGGATAGTAACTACTGAAATCACTAAGAAAGTATCCATTTTTTGACTTCCAGCTTTTAGAGTCTCGTACATTCTTTGGCACTTGTACCCTTCATCCATGTTTAGCATTAGCGACAGGGTGTTTGTCTCATGATGATATCTTTGGCCAACAACTGAATTTTTCCCTTTTTTTGTTACATCAACCCTTGTAGTTCTACAGACCTGAAATAATTCAGGATATTCTTGCATCCTGATATCAACTGGTTAAGATCTGAGTTCCAGCCCAATTTTCCTTGACTTATTTAACACAAGGGAAGCCTTAGGGACTAGAAAAATGTATGATGTTGTATATTTTATTATGCCCAGAACATTATATATTTGACTGTGTTAAATATTCCTTTATGAGTCCAAATCTCTTAGTAACACTGTTTCTGTAAATTACAAGGTTGGGAGATTTGGGGAAATGAAAGGCACTCAAAACATCATCTCTAACCTGAAATTATGATCTTCACAGGGTCACTGTTGGCTGAAATTTTAAAAGGGTAACGATCATTAAATCCATAGCATCTGTATGTCCCTGCATATTCTGTTGTCACAGGTTCAAAGACAAATTTCCTCTGGAATGGTCTTCCCTGGATGTGAGGGATAGGATTACCAAGCTCTTTGTACAACTTGAATGTGTAATAGACACTATGAGAGTCACATCGAAGTTCCACACGCTGTCCCAAAGGAACAATATGGCTTGGCCAGGCAGAGAGTGAAGGCTTGTCATGACTTCCTGCAGAGGGGTGCACAGAGAAAAAAATTAATGATGTTCCTTCACCCCTGAGAGCTGAGACTCCAATTTTCCCTACTTTTTGTTCCTTTGTATAACACTTTTCTCTGAATTGAAACATCCTTGCATCCATGTGAGAGGCTGAGATGTTCAGGATATTCAGAAAGTAAACAAACTTTCTCTGTCATGCAAAGGTGAAACATTCAAGAGTCATCAGTGGCGCTTCCCAGCTCTATAGAAAGAGTGAGACACTGTACCAGCTGAGCTCTGAGTGCTGATGTCTAAGACCTGTTGGGCTGCCTGCAAGTTGTGCACTGAGCTCCAGGGTTTTGGCTTCCTGATCATCACCCATATTGGGGTGTGCTTTAAGTAAGGTTTGAGTCACCCTTGCTTCTGTGAGTAACCCCAAATCTACACTGCTATCAGTAACAGAGTAAATCCATGGTTTCACAGAGTTAATCTTTGGTGCAATCACTGTTTCGTCTGTCATGGATTTCTTTCATGATGTGAGCAGATTTGTAAGTGTTGTACACATAGGGTCATTTTGAAGTGATGAGTGTGAAAACTGTGTTTTTTTGAATAGTTATGTTTTCCATAGATGCATCTGTTTCAATGTACAGCACATAGGGAATGTCAGTAATAGGAGGTATGTCCTCATTGGAGTAGGTGTGGCCTTGGTGGAGGAAGTATGTCACTGTGGAGGCACACTGTATAGTCTCTTATTTTCAAGCTATTAACAGTGTGAAATACAGTCTCAGTCTGCTGCCAGTGGATCAAAATGAAGAAATCTCTGCTCCTTCTCGAGCATCATCATCATTACCACCCTACATACTGCTAGGTTATCTACCATGATATAAATGGACAAAATCTTTAAACTGTACATCAGTCCCGATCAGATGTCTCCATTTATTAGAATTTCCATGGTCATGGTGTCCCTTCACACAGCAATAGAAAATCTAAGACAAAGATTGTGTTATCCAACATAATATATCTATATCTATATATCTGTATCTCTATCTATCTATCTATCTATCTATCTATCTATCTATCTATCTATCTATC